TGTGCCTTGCTAACAGCAGAGCTATCTCACCCGAGAGGCTGCTTGTTTCAAAAATCTTTTTGACCTACCTCACTTACGAAATGGGTGATCCCTAATTAAAACATTACTTTGCGCAATCGAAATTTGTGTGACTTCCATGTTTTTGTACTGATGCAACAATAGAAACATGTGAAATATGCCCTGGCGACTTTGGCCAGTGAACTGAGGTCAATTTAACATCATTGTTAAAAGCATCTATTGTTAAATGTACCGAGGCAGTAGCAACCGAGAAAACAAAATAGTTGAATGAATTTAGTTGGACTATGAGACGATACTGCACACACATTCCCTCAGTGATCGATAGGAAGTAAAGGAAGCGACTATACTTTTTGACTCAAGTTATAACCCCGGAAGAACAAGAACGCACATGTGCAAGGCTAATTAGCATAATTTATTTGGATGGATAAACAACAGGCATGGCCGTTGCGTTGATTTTTTTTTCCTTTTTGCTATCAGTTCCAGTTACATGCGTATTTATCGATATTTATAGGAGTTCAAAATGAATAAATATCAATACTAAATAACAAGTGAGTTGTTATGATTTACAGTCGATATTCCGATTCACCCCAGCCACATGCATAGGGACTGTGACTTTGCAGGTCGTCATCGTTGTGGTGGTTGCTCGATTCAGTCATTGAACACAATTGTAAGTTATTCCCATGGTATACATATTTCAACAAAACATTAATGACATCATGTTTTTATCAGGACACTTGCAAATTCTTAATTATGTTTTTGGCGTTCCAAAGCCATCAGTAGGTTGTGCTTGCCGTGGTAAACTGAATTATAAACAAGAATAAAACACAATTGCCGAAGCCATCGGTTGAATGAAAGGTGTGAAAACGTGCTAACTTTGTCCTTTGTGAGCTTATTAGTTGTCTGAGATGGAAGGCAGTAGTCTGCAAGACATCCGGGAACTATGTCCGTTATATGCAGTTCAACTGATCACTGCGGCCGCTGAAGCGTGGCCATTGGCCGCGTTAGGCAGGTGGCCGCTATAAACAGGGTACTTGACATGTAAAATTCTTAGGGTCTGTTCGGTTGCGACCGCTATAGGCAGGTGGCCTCTGTATCCAGGTGGCCGTTAACACAGGTTTGACTGTATTTACATCAATCAAGGACATTCGGTAGATTGCTTTCCCACTGTTGTTTCAATCCCAAAACCTGTTTGTATTCAAAATTAATTATGACAATGCATATGCATATTGAAACAAACTATGATAAAGGGAATAATATTATATAACAAAGGGAAAGGTCACCAGAGTTCAACTATGTTCAACGAAATATAGGAACATCACAGAGAAATATTCAAGTTCTAAAATTATGTATACTGTAAAACAATTCAATGTTTGACACTACAAGTTCCTTGCTGGAGTGAGTTCCAAGTGTGATTTTATTGCATTCAAAATTGTTCTATTTCAAACTGTGCATGCTTACACACAGTGATTTCTTGAAATGCATACTAATTAGGTAACTTGTCACTTGTAAAAGTTATTGAAAACATTTTGAGCGATAGTACTAGAGGGACATATCAACGACCTTCTGCATTCTCTATGAATTTCATGACTTTCTATGATCACATTAAAGAAAAAAAACTGTGGTTACTTTCAGCAGTTTGCTAGAGTCTAATCAAAAACGTGTCTCAAAAAAAACAAAACACTTTTACATTAGTTTTTCGATTATTTTTCCAGTTTTTAATGATAGAATCAGTCAATTTATATCGACCATAATGACTATAGGAAAGCATTTTAGCACAGTTTTACTGAAAAGACCAGTTTTTCATTGGTCATGAATATTAGTTTATGCAAATGAGACGATCGTTTAAACCTTGGGATTAATGTGCACAGGATTAGTTTTGAGTTCTTGTCTGTGCATATTAAGTAGCTAATTTGTATATTAATTATTTCAGCCTAGCCTGTATAAGCAAAATCTCAAAAATTTCTCAGATTTTGATCAAATTTGGTACATAGGCACCCTGGGGCAATAAGCAGACATGGTTAGTATTGGAGCCATGACTGCAAATCAAGTAGCTAATTTGTGTATTGTCTCATTTCAGCTTGTGTGAACAAACCTCTTATGCCATTGCTCCTTCACTGACTGTTTTCATTTTTATTTTCTAAGTATTTTTAATAAAACAACAATGATTAACTGAAGACGCATTCTTGACCAATCAGAATGATGTATTTAGGCAAATGGAAATGTTGATATAATATAATTAATATTTATCATTCTATTTGTAGTATTATTTGAGAAACAAGTTGGCTAGTACTTTTCTTGCGTAATCTTACTTAGATATGTTGCCGTTTTTGGGAACTTTTATACAATTAATGTTGTGTTATTCTCTAAGGGGCATTGAGATTAATACAGAACATTTATTTTTTTATGTAATCATGATCATTGTTCTTGTCCATTTTTGGTCAGAATTGTTCATACCTAAATTTAGTATTTTATAGAATTTTTATGTTTAAATATTTCACAAGATTTCAGTAAAGCTTTAGGAATGATCTCAGAGTGTAACCTACTGAGCAGCGTTAGTAGTAATAGTTTATTTTAATAAAACAAAAATAGTTCCCCATCATTTGACATCTTTGTGTAAAGGTCAATCTGGTGTGTACATATGTTTATGTCTGTTCCACAGATTTCTCAACAACCGCACATGAAATTCCAGTGAAACTTGGTGTGTTCAAACCCGTTTATAATAATTACCTAAGTTGTATTACTTAATTTTCAGTATATCTGGTTATATTATAGAACCACTTCTAAGATTTCATTGAACTTCGTACCTGTGGTTGTGTTGAGGATAACATTGTTTGGATCGTGTTTTTTTTTTATCAATTTGCATAACACTAATACCCAATTTTTAGATTTTTCTCTGTAAATATCTTGTATCATTTGATAAAATTCATTACAGGCTTGCAGGTGCTACAATTTGCTAATTTCTAAAAATCAATTTTGTGTGTGTGTACATATATGAAAAATAATATACTAATTTGCATAATAATAAGGTACATAGTCCGGTTGCTTATGTGCAGGTTCTTAGCATGTTGAAAGTATACACAAATAAATGAACTTGATAATTACCTAATTGTTTTGAGTTTATTATGTATCTGAACTATATCTCAAGTTGAAATTCTACTTTGTCAAAACAACACTTCATTTCATACAGTACTTCATACTTCATTTCATACAGAATACTTACAGTATGAAATGTTTAAATTTATTTAATAAGCTTATTTTGATTATCAATGTTGTGCTTTCAATCTTTGCCCCTAATATCCATCAGCAAAAAAGTTCTTAGATTCTTTTTCTTCTTCTAAGCTTTCTATTGGGTAGATTTGATTTTGTCTGTAAATGAGGTCATGCCAGTTGTTAATATATATATAAAATTCTACAATAGATGCCATTTACCAGTATAAAATGATGTGAACCATGTGCTTTGGGATTACACCTTTCATTGTGTGTGACAGCTGCTGCTTGCATATGGTGTCATTCTGTTGATGTATGTTGTTGTGATATAATAGATACCGTAACAGAACAGGCATTCAACTGAAAAACATTATAACCTGTGACTGAATAAAGTTTTGTTCATTCTTTGTATCCCCACCGTTTTTGAATTGTGATGTTTCAACAAATCAAAATTAAGATTGGTCTGTACATTACAATTTGTAATTTGTATTTAATAATGTAAGTTTATTAGTCATTATTGAGATGCGTTCAGAATACAGGCTAGTACAGACTAGGATTAAAGCTATAATTATGCACATTGCATTTATACTTGTGCATTAGAGGAACCAAAAGTCATTTTAACTTTAATTTCTTAGTACAATAACCAGGAAGGTGTACATTTTAGCTTCATGGTTATACAATAACAATATGAATCCAGAAAGGTGCAGTAATAGTACCTTAAAGCCCCCTTGCCCGTAACTCAATCCTAATCCTCCCCTCAATTGTATATGTCCTCCTCGTATAGTTATCTAGCGGTGCATATATAATTAAATTGGGGTTAGAGTGTTTGGATTATGGGTGGGGGCTTTAAGAAACTTTACCGAAAGTGTAAGTTACATTTTTTTTTTTTTTGAGATGTGCTCACCTTTGCTTGCCATACCAGAAATGACACATGGTGCATATAATAACAAATATTTTAAAGAGATACAGTATATAATGGTACTCTGTGCTTCGTCCAAAAAACAAGAAGTATATTGAATAACTTGATCATATAAAGTATTAAAATCTGGTATTATTGTGTTTTATAGGAGAAGCACTGCCAACAGAGGTATAATGTTTCGTGCATTATGACACTGCCACCTTATCAGAGACGAGGCTTTGGAAGGTTCCTCATAGATTTCAGTAAGTTTTCACATTTCAAAGCAAGTAGTGAGTGATGAAGCCACAACAAACAGACAAAGTATTGCTTTGATAGTGAAAATGTTTTATATAGTTTTGTCTGGCAAATGTTTGTAGCTCAAATTAATACTATTTATTTATACCCCTTTTCAATGGCATGCTTTAAACTTTTGTCGCACTACCTGTACACTAATGCTGATTACTGTTTTTTATTAGTGCCCAGGTTTTTAAAAATGTATCCATTCATATACACATGACATGTATGTAGTCATACAATACAACAATCATTATGTTCATTGTGTGTCTTGATTTGATCTTAAAACATTCTTGTACTATTTGGTCTCAATTTTCTTTCTCTTTGTAGTGTTAAATTGTCTCATTTCATCATTAAGGCTAGGCCAAACAAATTTTCTTGTAATTCATTAAAATTTTTTACAGTTCAGGGTTCATACAAATTTAACATTTTGTACAGGTTCATGATGATGATAGCTTGAGTATGAATTATTGTTAAAATTTGAGTCTATGTATGACTTCTTTATATTGATCAAAGACAGAAGCGTCTATGGCTTTGTAATTGATGTTCAATGCATTGCTTGGTTTGTGTTACAGGTTATCTGCTATCAAGAAGGGAAGGTCAACCAGGGTCTCCAGAGAAACCATTATCTGATTTGGGGAGAGTCAGTTACGGTGCATACTGGAGGAGTGTAATATTAGAGTATCTACATAGAAATCAGAATACAGTCATCACCATAAAAGGTACCTACTATCCACTGGTCCTAACATAATCCATGTAATACCAAACTGTTTCCAAACATTTATTAGTGTATGCATACGCATTGTGCATGTATCTGTAACATGCCTGCACTGATTATGTTCAAGCTTCACACATTTGTTTCACAATCAAGTCAAGATGGTCAACTAGCAGCATGTTCTTTGACAGTATTTATGTCATTTCCTATTCACAGCAATTAGTCGAGCCACAGGTATGTGTCCACATGATATAGCAGCAACATTACAAAGTCTTAATATGGTAGCAAGAATAAATGAGAAGTAAGTATTACTACTTCATGAAATAATACTGAGATGTACTGCTCGTAAGAAATTTTGTAATGTTCTATAAATAAATAATTCAGTACAAATTTATGAGATCTATCTACAAGTATATAAGTGCTTTGTGGAAAGTTCTGCTATTATGTTAAATTTTCAGCCAACTATTTGTGTGACTTGTATTATTTTTATCAAATTACTGTGCTATATTTCCTTACCAGGTCGCATTCACAAGTTCACTTATTTGTGTCTGGCAACTTTCCTGTTTTGGTGTGATTTCAAATGTTTTTACACACTGCACAAGCTAATTTGTATTTACAATTCTGTGGTTCCTTTGTCAGGGTGGTGTTAAGCATACGTAGGAGTGTAATCAATGAACATATGGCTAAATTAAAGAAATGGAAAGAAAGAAGAATAGATTTAGATTCAGAAAGTTTGAGATGGTCGCCTATAGTTAGTGGTACAGCTATCATTGAAGAAGAAAAAGAAGCTGAGAGAGAGGTAACTTCCTCATTCCATCTATTAATTGCATGATGTAGGTGGGTGAATTGTAAGAAGAAAAAAATAGGAAGGTTGTTGAAAAATTAAAATTATATTTTTTGAGTGGTTTAATTCTATTTAGTCCATGGTGCCATGATTGTAGAAATAGTTATAAATTTTTGGGCTAAAACTAACATACTTTTATTAACAGGTTGAAAAGATGGGAGCATTAGTCGATGGTTTGGCAGAAGACAGGCATGCTAATGATGAGCCAAAAGTAGTAAAAAATAAAACCAAGGATGTTTTAGAAGACATCAATGATGGATCTCAAGCAAAGGCAAGTAGTGCCATCTGATGGAAATGTAAAAATCTATAGAGAACATCAACTGTTCTTACTATTCACAAAATAAAACCACGTACATTTTTTTTATTATCCCCAAAATTTTGATCAATACCTGTAGAAAATAACAAAAAAGAAAAACATGAAAATATGCAAAATTGTGGAGCACAAAAGTATAATTTGATTGTCTTTCTCACTCTGACATTCTCTACTCAGTATATGAATGTTGCATGTTCCATTTTCTCTCATAATCGTTTCCAGTGTTTCTTTGACCATGGTATTCAAGCATTTCATTTAATGTTATTGAAATGAAAAAATTCTTACACTTTTATGCAAGGTGGCAAGTTATCAATGGGCCAGCACTGTGGGGTTTAGTCCTAACTCGGATACATATATATTATAGGCATTTCCACACAAGAAACGTGGCCGTAAAAGGAGGCGGCGGGCAACTGGTTGGGGACATGATACGAAGCGACCCAAAAAACCCAAATCGAAAGTAAAGTCATTACTCCCAGTAGTGTCACTTCCTGAGAAAGAAAACCAAGCTATGATTGACACTGGTAAGTTTAATTGCCATATACACAATTGACGACAGAATTTGCAGTGAGTCTGGAGAAATACACAAGTTGATAGTTCAGACAAATTCTGGATATGCATTCCTAGATCGATTACATTCCAACTTGAATACATACATCATTGTTTACTGCCATGTCTCAATCATAGGAATTACTGTTCTAAGCTGTTAACTACAGTTAACTACAGTTAACATACTCGCAGCAGAAAACAAAGTAGCTTCATTGTTGAGCATGAATGACAAACATTAATACATGTACAAGAAATGGTCTCACTATTTTCTTTTTGTTTGTAATAATTTCTGATTTGCTCATCTTAGAACTCTTCATTGCTCAGTAAGTCGTTGTGTTATTGAAACTTGAAGGTACCATGATAAATTGAAGTCTTTCTGTAATACAGGAAAGTGTACTTTTAGCTCGGCTGTCAACTTTGTCGAGCGGAGCTTATCATATGAATGATTGTCTGGCATCAGTCATCTGCATCAACTTTTTACTTTTTCGACTTCTTCTTGACAACTACAAGCCTGATTGCCTTGATACTTGGTGTTTATGTACCTTGGGTAGACCTCACTTAGATATTTCCATTTCATGATGGTATATTTTAATTTTAGATTTTGGTGAATTTTTTCGTCATTTTGAATTTACACATATGTGTACTACAGGTGGACCTCTCTCAATTTGTTCATTTTGTGTTGATATCTTCAAGTTTCTATTTGAAATGTGCATTGCTAAACAGCGGAGCTGCTTGTTGTTTGTTTACTGAAAACTTTATATTCTATTTATTTTGTTTGTTCTTTTTAGTTTGTGAGAACGGTCCAGAATTGGTACATGCCAAGGTTGAAAATAAGGAGGAGCCTCCAGAAAAGAAAAGTAAACAAGAAGACAAAGAAATTGAAGATCTTGTAAGTGAGGAAAAAGAAATTGCTGAAATGGTTGAAGATGACAAGAAAGCAAATAGTGCAGATTCTGTCAATAAAACTGATGATGATGAGGAGGAGGATGATGATGTTGATGAAGATGAAGATGATGTTGATTCAGAGGTGCCAAAAAACGACAAGCCCATGACCCCTGTCAAACGTAAACGTGGGTGGCCAAAGGGGGTCAAACGGGGCTCCTTTTTCAGGCGGCCATCCAAAAAACAGGGTCGCCCACCCAAACGTAGAATCCATATAAATGATGATGATGGGAAAGTAAACAGCACTCAGGAAGATTCTGTCAAGAAACCAAAACAGGATAATATGGATGAGGATGAGTTGTCTCTTGAAGCTTCTGATACAGAAGAGAAAAATGATGTTGAAAATAAAGATATTGATGGCCAGGATAAAGATACAGATGACAGCAAAGATGAAGAAAGGAAACAGGAGGAGAGTGTTAATAATCATGTTGATAGTGATTGTAATGAAAACAGCAATTGTGAGGAGGAAAAGGAGGAGTTGTCTGAAACGATAGGCAGCAATGACTGTGACAAAGAAGAAAACAAAAATGAAGAAGAGAATAAACAGCAGTCAAAAAACGAGGAGGGGGAGGAGGAGGAAATGGAAAAAAGACAGGACGAGGACGAAAATGGAGAGGAAGATCAGGAGCTAAATGAGGATAAGTCTGAGGTTGAGAATGAAGGACAAGATGATCATGATGGAATTTCAGTTACAAAGCAGGATGACAAAAAAGTGAGTGAACAAAAAGATGTAGAAAATAATGATGCTGATAGCAATGAAAGTGGTGATGATGAGGATTTAGAAATGCCACAGTTGGAACAAGAGAGTGCAGTGAATAAATCTCAAAAAGAAGTAAACAAACAAAATGTGGGAGAGAATTTTCGTGACTTTCGTGAGCCCTCAGTAGAGGAGACTGAAGAGACTGGTGAAGCTGTGAGTAATTTACAAGCTGCTGAAGCTTTGGAGGAGGTAGATGAGGAAAACGATGAGGAACCTGCTAATTCATTCAACGACTCTAACGAGGAGACCAATTACCGGTCTGAAGCTGAAACTGCGCTTGATAATGATGATATATCAGCTCCTGACTGTGCCATGGTGTCACAGAATTTTCCATCTTGTAGTAATCCAACACATAGTCCTGTCAAGCCTTGTATGGAAATAGCGGAAACATTGTTTGACAATGATGCAGCGCCTCCTCCCCCACCACCACCGCCGCCACCTCCGCCGTCTCAAACACAGACTTGTCTAGACAGTAGTCCTGTAACAACTGCTCAAGTTAATCTTACAAGTGCACCATTGCATGGTCCCCGGAGTGCTGCACCTCCTCCTCCACCACCACCACCTCCTCCCCCTTTACATCATGGTAGTAGTCCACAATTTGGTGCCAGCAGTCCTCAAGTTCCTATGAGTCCTCAAGTACAGATGAGTAGCCCTCATGCTCCAAGTCCACAGGTACAAATGAATAGTCCTCAAAGAGCCATGCATAGCCCACATGCAGGAAGCCCACAAGTTCAGATGCACAGTCCACATGCCAATGGATCACAAGTACAAATGCAAAGCCCAATGCCAGCTTCAAGTAGTCCTCACCCACAGGCAACACTACAGAGTCCACATTCAAATAGCTCACAGGTTCAAGGAAACAGTCCACAAGTGGTATATACTGATCCTCTACCAGGATCGCAAAATGAAAATAGCTCGAACAATAACATGCTGTATAGTACTAGCCCACGTCCAGCTCAGATTGAACCACCATCAGCACCTAGTACCAGCTGTAGTTTGGCCAAGTTACAACAATTGACAAATGGTATAATGCAGGATAGTGACCTAAAAGTGCCACAGTCGCCTCATACTAACCCAAATCTTACGCCGCCACCGAATTCAAGTCCCTCACCTAATATGACACCGCCGCCATCATTGCAAAGAAACATGACTCCCCCTATTACTCACACTCCCCCATTGCAACGGTTGCCACATTTACAATCACAAATGCCGAACAATATTCATGGCATGGTGATGCAGTCGCATAATGGTATGCTTGTTCAAAATAACATGCTACAGCAGCAGCAACCACAGCAAATGCAGCAACCACAGCAATCATTAACGCCTCAACCAGTAATGAACCATCACCACCAACAACCTCAAAGAAGCATGCACCACCAACAACACCATCATCAACAGCAACAGCAACAGCAACAACAGCAACAGCAGCAGCAACAACAACAGCAGCAACAGCATCATCATCATCATCACCAACAGCACCAACAGCAGCGTGTTGCTAGTGCACCCCCACAATTTACAACTATGCAGGCACCTGTAAGTCGGCCACTTTCACAGCCATCACAGTATCAACAGCAAAGAGCAAGCTCTCATACAATACACCATTATAAACATCAACAATCGCAGCATCAGGCACAACCCCAAGTGCAACATCAGCAGCCTCAGCAACAACTTCACCATCAACAGCCCACAGGCAACACAAATACCTATAACTATATACCAAATTACAATGGTTACCACCAAATGCACCATCAACCGGTCAATAATAGTTACCATAGTAACCCCCCATACTTGGAGCAGCATCAGGTTCCCATGCAGATGGGAGTTGTTACACAACCACCAATTGGTGTCCCAAACTCAAATCGTTACCATGCCAATAGGACTGTTTACCCACAATACAGTATAATAAACCACCAGGTTGGTGGACAGACAGTTATGCGACGGTGAAACTTGCAAATTTAATATTAATAGATTGTAACCTTATTTATTGTCTTTGATTTGGCTTGATATTAATGAACACTGATTGAAAGACTTAAGTTATTTTCTTAAGTCTTAGTTATTATTTTTCTTGATGTATATTTTGTAAAATCTGCTGCTATGGAGTATGAAATTCCTTCTTTATCAGCTAAGACCAAATTATGTTATACAGAATGTAAAAGAGAAAATGAAATAAAAACACAAGATTTGTTTTTTCAATACTGTAGATAAAGAATTTTCACTTTCTCTGCGTGGTTTCAAGACTTTTTAGCCTTATACTTGTACATACTATAAAATGTTATCGTGATGTGAATGACCACCTATTCTGTGTGTCTAGTATTATTTCCAAAATTTTTCAGAGGATAGTTTTTGTGAATTTCTGCAAAGTTGTATTTTGTGCTTGTCAACAAATGAATTGTTTGTGTGTGTACTTTTATGTTTTTTTAGAACCTTTGTTGCAGCAGAGCTGTCCTTAAACAATTGTCTCAGAACTCAGATCCTCTTTCTGTTCATCATTTTCTCATGATATGAACACATTTTATTTGGACTATCTTTCTTGTAAATTGAATATTTTGAGTCATTGAACTCATCTTGTGTGTATACTAAACATGTCCATTTAATCTCCAGTTATGTCATTTCTGAAAATGGGTATACAGACACCCATTCCCTTACTCATTATCATAAACCATTATTCAGTTTTGCCACCTATGCCTTGCAATGCAATGAAGTGAAAAAAATCATTCAGTATGAATGTTCGTCTTTTCGTAAACTACCATAATTTCAGTGGCAGCCTGAGTCGTGATGTCCTTTGTATTTATGGTGTTTATGCAAATGAGTAAGGTTTGGATCTTTATGATTTAGGTGTCATTGCATTAAACTGTACCAAGAATTGTCAATTTTGTTTCATACACCAATTGTCAAAGTGAATATCTTTGAGAATAGTTGTCTTTTGAAAAAAGCAGACTTGCGCTTATTTTGTGAGTTATCTGTCTAGCCAGAAACACTTTAGTTTCATCTGCCTTGTACACTATATTGTTATTGAAAATAAATTATATACATTCTTACAATGCACGTTTGCTGTACTATAATGTTATGTTCCTGTGAGTGGATGTTCTAACAAGGGACACTTTGTCTCTCCCTCTCCCAGGTATAGTGAAACCTTCACACTCAAAACCCAAGTTAATATAAAATTATACATGCATTTTGTAATGCCATGGTGCATGGTTCCAATATTTTGAAGACTGTTGACAGTACACACATTTTGTAATGCCACAGTGCATGGTTTCAATATTTTGAACACTATCGACAGTACACACATTTTGTAATGCCATGGTGCATGGTTTCAATATTTTGAACACTGTTGACAGTACGCGCATTTTGTAATGCCATAGTGCATGGTTTCAATATTTTGAACACTATCGACAGTACACACATTTTGTAATGCCACAGTGCATGGCTTCAATATTTTGAACACTTGTCAGTACGCACATTTTGAAATGCCACAGTGCATGGTTTCAATATTTTGAACACTGTTCACAGTATACACATTTTGTAATGCCATGGTGCATGGTTTCAATATTTTGAACACTGTTGACAGTACACACATTTTGTAATGCCACAGTGAATGGTTTCAATATATTGAACACTGTTGACAGTACACACATTTTGTAATGTCATGGTTTCAATATTTTGAACACTGTTGAAAGTACGCGCATTTTGTAATGCCACAGTGCATGGTTTCAATATTTTGAACACTATCGACAGTATACACATTTTGTAATGCCACAGTGCATGGTTCAATATTTTGAACACTGTTTACAGTACACTCATTTTGTAATGCCACAGTGCATGGTTCAATATTTTGAACACTGTTGACAATATACACATTTTGTAATGCCACAGTGCATGGTTTCAATATTTTGAACACTGTTGACAATATACACATTTTGTAATGCCACAGTGCATGGTTTCAATATTTTGAACACTATCGACAGTATACACATTTTGTAATGCCACAGTACATGGTTCAATATTTTGAACACTGTTGACAGTATACACATTTTGTAATGCCACAGTGCATGGTTGAATATTTTGAACACTGTAGACAGTACACACATTTTGTAATGCCACAGTGCATGGCTTCAATATTTTGAACACTAGACAGTAC